CCCAGGGATGCAACAGAACACCCTGGGAGAAGGATGTCACACACCACATCCCTGACAAATACAAAAATGGACTTTTTGACAAGGTGCTAAGAGAAGTATTAATATTGTTTTTAAAATGTTGCCTATTCTTTCCTATAGAGGAGACTGACAAATAAGTCGAACTTCAATCTTCCATGAGTCAGTTTGCTAAAGCAACAAAAGACATTGGGCTATTTTGCACTAGATTCTTTGCAAGAAATACCTTTAAACAGCTCAGGTTTTGCCCACACTCCAAGTTTCTCAAGCCAGAATATGAATTTATAGTGCACCTAGTATGACCATACAGTACCATGCCTTGTGCACTCTGCTAAGGTGCAGTAAGCACTACACTGTAGTATTGTTCACATGGTATGCTGCTAGGAAGCTGAGCTAGTGTGTTGTGCATTCATAGCCTGGCTTGCTGCACAGTAACTCACTTTGTAGACAAGCCCTTCAACATTTTACTTAAACTCATCTGCTGAGAATTCAAGAATACTTAGCTCTTTTTATTAGCATTTTTTAAAAATAAATCTCTCATTATAATGAATGGCTGCACTGGCCCTTTACAGGTAAAATCCACCTCTGGGAGAGGGTTGAGATCAAAGCCCACAGCTGAGGCAGATATTGCCAATTAGGGCCCAGCTGTGGGCTGTATAAGTAAGGGCTCTGAGAGGGAGGAAGGGAAGCAGACTCTTGTTCTGGCTGTGGAGCAGGAGGGACCTGGCTGTCACGGAAGCTGAAGACTTCCTGAGACAGGGCAGTGGTGGGGAAAGGCAGCACCTCTGGGAGAGGGTTGAGATCAAAGCCCACAGCTGAGGCAGATATTGCCAATTAGGGCCCAGCTGTGGGCTGTATAAGTAAGGGCTCTGAGAGGGAGGAAGGGAAGCAGACTCTTGTTCTGGCTGTGGAGCAGGAGGGACCTGGCTGTCACGGAAGCTGAAGACTTCCTGAGACAGGGCAGTGGTGGGGAAAGGCAGGCAAAGCTGGGGAACTCTGGCCTGATCTCACTCCCAGGCTGCAGGGCCTGAAGCAAAGCCTGAGAGAACTAGGGCTGCAGGGAGGCAGCCAGGAAAGGAGAAGGCAGCAAAGTCCACATCCCCTTGCCAATGATGAGTGGTCATTACAGACTGCAGTACACCCCTTTGGCAGGAGCTAGATCAGGGCTACTCAACTTTGGAAGCCCCAGGGGCCACAATGATACTCACAGCACATGAGGAGGGCTGCAACTTAAGTTTGATTGCACGTAAATGCAAATATATATGCCAATATATGCAAAGCGCTTCTCATACACTGACGGGCATGAATACAAAGATAAAGGCAAGACTATACAACACACAGGCCCCATTTAAGTCAGGTCTGCTGATATTAATCAAATGCAATATTTACGCAATTTCCACCCATATGACAGCACTTTTAATGAGCAATGACAGTTTAGGAATTTAACTACTAAAATGCATATCAACAGAAGACCCTTATACTGACTCACCGTTGTGGAGCGTGTTCCCTATGGAGGCCATGTTCAAAGGATCCCACCTGTGGGCAGCATATTGAGCCTCACGTAAACCCAAACTGCATCATGGGCCACATGTTGAGTAGCCCTGAGCTAGATGAAGACTGGCAGTGGGTCACTGTGGCAAGGTGGGGAAAGGGGAATTATGTGTTCCCTGGGAAGGGAGGACCCCAGCGTGCAGAAACTGATAAACACTTCCTCCCACCCCCCCCACCCCGGAAGGGGCCGAGTCACTGAAGTGGGCACTGTCAGAGAGCAATGTCCTGAAGAGAACACTGCAGTCCAAGAGTGATGCGAATCTAGAGCTGAAGCGTGAAGTGAGGACACAGAAGGACACCTGCCAGAGGGAGGTGTCCTGCTTCCAAGCTAATTCCCAGTGCTACTGGCAAGGCAGTGCCGTGGCAGCAAGTGGCTGCCCCGTGACAAAGTTATACTTAGCTCAACGAAAATTTGTATTGTTGGGAAGCATTATCAGAAAATTCACACGATCTCCAGAAGATAAATCTTTTTACAACTCTAAATGTGAAGTATTCAATGTTTTGAGATAATACATCTATCACCAAACAAAGGATGCAATCCTGCAAAACTTTTATTCATGTGATTAGTTACAAAATTCTAAAAAGTGCCAGGTGAAATGCTGGAAATTAGTATTTTTTTACTATAAGGTATGAAAGCCTCTGGTACCATATCTCCAGAACTCTGAATGCAATTATTAATTTTCCTAACTTCATTTAAACTTTACCCCATATAGAAAGAATACTAAAAGCTTTCACAAGTGCAAAAACACAACTCACCATTATATTAGATAATGCAGAGACTCTGTGCATCACTTAGCACAAAGGCATCACAATTGATTTAGGAGTCTGACATTCTGGAATGAAATCCAGGCTACTGAAGTGCTTTGTCACCCCTGCCCTGCAACTTTTGGTGTTTCACAATACTTTGCTGCAATAGAATCAAACAGCATGCAGGTCATACACAATGTCTGTGTATTGCCACAACTCTTGATCCAACAACTCCAACCCCAGCAACACTTCATCTTTCAGCAGCCTTTGGATACTAGATGCAGGATGATCCCAACATACTTCCAAGCCCTGAACATCTCCCCAAGACTCATGTTCTACAATGTCCAGCCCTTTCCTGGACAATCCAGATAAAGACAGTTGTTCCTCTAAGGCAGGTGTGGCGAATGTAAGGACCGGAGGGCCAGATGCAGCCCCCAGCTTGCCTGGAACTGGCCCTTGAGGCTCAGGGCTCCCCCCACCATTGGGGAGCCCATGCTAGTGAGGGGTGGGTCCTTTTGTTGTTCTTCTCACTTGTGTGCAGCCCCCCAACTGATTTTTCTGTGGGTCTGTGACCTGACTAAAAAAAAAAATTACTCACCTCTGCTCTAAGACAACCAGTATAAGATAGTTTGTTACCTCAAATTGAGCTACCGAAACAATTCATAACACTTGCATTAGTTTTAATGAAAAGATGAAACAAGCTTACTTAATTACTAAGGATGTTAAAGACTAATCAACTATCCGATAAGCAAATGCTTATCAGATAGTCGACTTCCCCCCCTTTGCTGCCTCTATCTTATACTTCAAAGGGCAGTGACGCACAGCTAATCCCGGCTCAGATATGCGGTGCTGCCCCTTTGAACCTGCCTCAGTGTTTCAAAGGGGCAACGCCGCCTGGAGACCAGGGTTAGCTAGGGACTCCCCAGCTGATCCTGGACTCCATGCAGCATTTCCACAGAAAGCAGGATCAACTGGGGAGTCCCCTGCTGGGGAATCTTGTATGTTTCAAAGCTGACACACCCATGTGCAGCGGGACTTCCTGTTGGCCCCAGGCTGCATGTGATGTTCCACATTCCTCCTTTGAAATGTACAACAGCTCATACAGGAGCTCTTGTACATTTCAAAGGAGGAATGCAGATGTGCCTATTGACTAGTTGAGTAGTTAATGGAAATTCCATCAACTACTTGATTAGTAAATTAATTGCAATTTAATATCCTTAGTCCCTGCTCCTTCCCCCTTTCTCCCAGAATTTAAACACCACAAATCATTTGCAATGTTCAAGCTCTGGGAGGGAAAGGGAAGGGGCACAAATCAGCCAATTCACAGAGCACCAGAATCGCTGGGAAAAGAAGGGACAGAGCACGCTCACGGGAGGAGACTGAGAAAGAGGCTTGAGTGAGGGTTTAAGGGAAGAGGTGGAGTACGAGCGGGGCCTATAGCACAGGGTAGAGCGTTGAGCAGCCACTGGCAAAATGACAAGTGACACATTTAAAGCAAGGGCACATGTAAGTTGCATGTTGATTGTGCACAACCTGGTGAGAGTCATGTGCTCCCTCTGCTTCTTTATGTTTCCTTTGCTGGCAGTGTAATTTGCCCCTAATAACGGATCACTTTCTGTTGAAAGGCATGATAAAGAAGATTCAAGTGCAATGTATTTAATCTTATTCTTGAGGTCATGGTTCGCGAGCATGCCAATTAATAGCCTTGGTTGCCCATTGCTGATTGCCCATCGCCAGGACTGGACAAATACCAGCCCATGGGCTGGGTCTGGTTAGCTTTTGGTGGATCCTCACCACTATATTTACCTGCACAGCTGCAGGTACTGGCAACTGCAGCTCCCATTGGCCATGGATCACCATTCCCGACCACTGGGAGCTGCAGGAAGCAGTGTCCCGCACCACTATGGTTGCCCTGCTATGATTTATAAAATACACTCTACACAGAAATGTAACTAGTTTCCCTGTTTAATGTTTCTTTCCTCCCCCCCCCCCCCCCCCCCACACACACACACACACACTTCCCCCATGTGTTTTACATTCATAACATTTTAGAGCGGCCAACCGAGGTTCCATGAAATTTTATCAAACTGTCACAAATTAAACCAGGAGCTGTATCTTGTCCCCAAACTGGAAGGGTCTGCAAGAGGGAGAACCCACTAAAACAATACCCAGTCTACTCCTTGCCATATCTCTCCATCAAAAGCCTGATTAAACTGATGAGCCTGGCAGAATGTGCTAAAGCTCACTAGGTTTGGACTATTTAGATCATGGGAAAGTAAGGTCTAAGCAAGACTATATGTAATGCAAATATAATGCTACTGCAATTATGATACTACAATGACTTTTCCTCTCTTTTCTCTAACCAATTTTATTCTATCTATTACATGACTGCCACTCTGACGCTGGGAAAGGTTGAAAAAAGTTACTGTGGACCAAGTCCAAAACCAACAATTCCTCTCTAGATCTTTCCTGAGCCAGGCTTCAGAGCAAATTGTTTAGTACAGTTAGGAATATCTGATCCAAATTATAAAGAGAGCTGAGAGCTATTTTGTATTTTCTGATGCACAGAAAACAGCCTATGTAAAATGCAAAATAATGCTGCAGAAGATTTCTGAATCAATTAATGTATCCTTACATTCAGAAAACAATGACTTAGACAATAAAGACAAATTTATTCTAGGACTTACCTGTGCATACTCTCTCTCAATCGCAGCTTTCTTCTGACTGAATGTCCTACAAAAAACAGGGGAGAGTCCATTAAGACACGCAGCAGTAAACTATACAAACAATAATTAAATGGGGGCTTTATATAACTTTAGTTCAGCTGCACCCACCAGGCAGCCTTTTTAACCAAAAGAAGAGCTAAACTGTTTGACAATTGTGTATTAACTGCCTAGCAACCACTTACATGTGGACACCACAGATTAAGAGCTCCGTCCCTCAAACTTCATTTACTTCAATAAAATTCTCTTTAGATTTATACTGGTTTATCAGACAACAAAATTCGGCCTTCAGGCATAACTTCTTTTGGGATTGTCTCTCCCTGACTGCATCTGAACATACTAGCCTAATTGTTCTAAATGCAGGACTCATTTCACTTTCTTGCACCATCTTCACTCAAGAATGCCCTGACTTAGCAATCAGTGTAGCTGCATTAGAGGGTATCCATGTACCTCAATTGGTTTAAGCCTCTATATGCCCTTCCACATTTAGGGGTCAGTAGAGATTGAGCTACACCAATTGCTTGCCATAGATTATTGAACTGAATAATCAGTAATACTGAGTGTAAGTAATACTAATACTGAATATAAGTGAATGCCAAGTATTGCTGGTTTTACAGATGGGCAAAGGAACATCTGGAGGGTAGGGTCATAATTCAAAATGATCTGGACAAACTGGAGAAATGGGCTGAAGTAATAAGGACAAATGCAAAATACTCCACTTAGGAAGGAACAATCAGTCTCTCACATACAGAATGGGAAGCGACTATCTAGGAAGGAGTACTGCAGAAAGAGATCTAGGGGTCAGAGTGGACCACAAGCTAAATAGGAGTCAGTGTGATGCTGCTGCAAAAAAAAGTAAACATGATTCTGGGAGGCATTAACAGAAGTGTTGTGAACAAGACACAAGAAATCATTCTTCCACTCTACTCTGCGCTGATTAGACCTTAATTGGAGTATTGTGTCCAGTTCTGGGTATCACATTTCAAGAAAGATGTGGAGAAGTCAGAGAACGTCCAGAAAGAGCAACAAGAATGATTAAATGTCTAGAGAACATGACCTATGAAGGAAGACTGAAAGAATTAGCCTGGTTTAGTTTGGAAAGGAAAAGACATGATAGCAGTTTTCAGGTATCTAAAAGGGTGTCACAAAGAGAAGGGAGAAAAATTGTTCCCCTTAGCCTCTGAGGATAGAACAAATAGCAATGGGTTTAAACTACAGCAAGGGAGGGTTTAGGCTGGACATTAGGAAAAACTTCCTATCTGTCAGGGTGGTTAAACACTGGAATAAGTTGCCTAGGGAGGTTGTGGAATCTCCATCTCTGGAGATAATTAAGAGCAAGTTAGATAGACATCCATCAGGAATGGACTAGATGGTACTAGGTCCTGCCATGAGGGTCGGGGACTGGACTCGATGACCTCTCGAGGTCCTTTCTAGTTCTAGTGTTCTATGATTCTATGAAAAAACAGGAGTAGAATCAGTATATTTCATTTCAGCACAAGCTTGATAAATTATCCCACCATGGCATTGTGAACCAAATTCCACTCTTTGGACATCAATACAAATCTTGAGTAACTACAGACCCTTCAAATCAGTTGTGCCAAGTTTACACCACTATAGTAGCTAAATTTTGTATTTTAGTCAATCATATTCTGGGAAAAATGGGATTGACAAAGCTTTCAGTGTACCCTTGAATTATAAGGTCCAAGTTTGAAGCAATCTTGTTGTAAAATAAAAACAAATTATGTTACTCTGTTCCATCTAATTACAGTAGGTTTCAGTACTCTGTAGCCCCAGGAGAACCAAATTACAGCAGCACAAACAAAATGAAGAATAGTTAAACCACAGTTAATCCTTCGCAGATTTAGAATTGTCTAAATGTGTCAAGATTGCCAGTAGTGCTCTGGCAGTTTAAGTAATTTTCTTTTACCTACAAACAGCCAAGCCATAGAATTTTCTTTGATCTGCATTTCCAGATATTTAAAAGCATGTTTTTTTCTAATGAGATTAATATGCTATGCCCAAAACACCTGACTTGAATTCTATTTAAATTAAATGAAAATGAATTGAACAATCATTATGGAGAGAAGCTAGAAGTTAAGGTAAAATACAGCAGATGCTTGCTTTTTTTTTTTTTGCTTGCAGTCACCCTTTGTAAGAGCAACTGGCTCTTATGAAAAAGATGTCCTCTAGATTTCAACATTCTCCATAACAGCAAAGCCACTTAGGAGCAACATAGCAAAAGAGCACTGGTATGTTGCCACTAATGAGTATCTGCTGTATTCTGTAACAACATCCAAGAAAATTTAAATTAAAACAAACAAAACACCAATGGAGCGTTCCATTCTTACCAACTACTCCATTTTGTTTACTGAACACGCTCTTCGGGTACACAGCAGTAGTATTTCAGAATAACTGATGCTATTGAGAAATAACAGTCCGTATCTACACTACAAGAAGTTATTTCGACATAATGGCAAAATAATGTCAAGCTGGAGTACTTCTTACTCTAACTTCTGTAACCCTCATTTTATGAGGAGTACAGGAAATCAGAGGAAGAGTGCTTTTCCTCAGACTTTCTACTGCATAGACAGCTCCATAAGCCGAAATAAGCTATTTCAACATAAGCTAGGCAATTGACGTAGCTCAAGTTGCATAGCTTATTCTGGCTTTAGCTCTGCTGTGCAGACGTGCCTTTAGAGATTGCCTATTTCAAATAAACTGTAAAAAGAGTTACTCACCTTGTGCAATAACAGAGGTTCTTCGAAATGGTTGTCCCTGTGGGTGATCCACCTTAGGTCTTTGGGGTGCTGGTGCACGCCTAGTCAGAGATTTATGGTAGCAGTTCCTCTGGTAGGCTGTGCACACAAAGCAGACAGTGCGCATGGTGCTACTACTATGCATGCAAAGCCAACGGTCCCCTCAATTCCTTCTTTGCCCCAGATGAAATAGGGTAGGTGGTGGAGCACCCACAGGGACAACCATCTCGAAGAATCTCTGTTACTGCACAAGGTCAGTAACCCTCTCTTCTTCTTCTTGGAGTGTCCCTGTGGGTGCTCCACCTTAGGTGACTGTAGAGCAATGCTTGTAATGAGGAGGCGAATGCTTCAGCTATTTAGTATGCTGGACCATGGACAGCGCAGTGTGCCCATACTTGGTGCCCTGGAACAAGTAGGCATAATGTCTGGCGAAAGTGTGTGCAGAAGACCATGTTACAGCTCTGCAAATGTCTGTAAGACGGATACTATTGAGCTGGCTACAGAAGCCATCATAGCCCTTGTGGAATATGCATGTAGCTATAGTAGATGTCCTTAATTGAACGAGGAATAGAGCTAACTGGATGCAGTCCACTATCCATCTGAATAACCTCTGGGTGGAGACTGGCTTGCCCAGAGATCTCTCTGTAGTGGACACAAATAGTCTAGGAGTCTTGCAGATTCCCTTTGTCCTGTCTAAATAAAAGGCAAATGCTCTGTTCACATCGAGCATGTGCCCTGTAGCCTCTTTAGCTTTGGCATGGGGTTTGGGAAGAAGATGGGTAGTATCACAGGTTCACTGAAGTGAAAAGAGGATATCTTTGCCAAGAACTTTGGATGTGGTCACAGAATCTCTTTATCATTGTGAAATACTGTAAAGGTTGGATCTGCCATTAATGCACGGATTTCACTTACCCTCCTGGCTGATGTAACAGCTATCAATAGAGCCACCTTCATTGATAAGTGGAGCATGGGGACATGGGTTCAAAAGGTGTACAGGGGAGGGCACAAAATACTAAATTGAAGTCCCAGGTTGGGACTGGAGGTTTAATAGGCTGAAGTGTTCTAAATGCCCTTAAGAAAATGCTTAGTTGTAGGATGAGCAAAGATCAATTTGTTTTCAATGAGTTGATGAAAAGCTGTTATGGCCACAAGGTGAAACTTTAATGACCTAAATGAAAGGTCTGAGTGTTTTAGGTTTAAAAGATATTCCAAGATGCCCAAGAGTGGTACTGTCGATGAGTTTGCAGACTTTTGTTTTGCCGAGAGCAAAAATCTACGCCACTTATACAGGTAAGATCTTCTGGTTGTTAGTCTACAGCTGTTCAGTAAAGTTTGTTTAACTTGATCAGTGAATGTTGTTTTTATTGAGGGGAGCTACTGAGAAACCAGGCTCAGAGATGAAGGATCTGGAGGGATGCATGGCGAATTTGTCCACCCAGCTGCGCGAGAATGTCGGAAAGCAGCAGGAGACACCATGGCGACCTCCTGGACATCTGTAGCAGGTAAATGTACCAGGTCTGTCGTGGCCAGGCTAAAGCAATAAGAATTACTTGTGCTGCATCTGCTCTTATTTTGTTGATTACTTGATGTAGGAGTGGAATCGGAGGAAAAGCATATAGAAGGGATGAACTCCAGGGTATCATGAATGAATCCCCCAGGGGCTGCAAGCCAATGCCCACATGTGAACAGTATTGTGGACACTTAAGGGCATCGGCTGCAAACAGGCCCACTCTGGGGAACCCCCAGTGACTGAAGATCTGTTGTAGAATGTTGGGGTCCATTTCCCATACGCGATTGAAGATGAAATTTCTGCTAAGACTGTCTGCGGTAAGATTGTCCTTGCACGGAAGGTAAGAAGCTTGTATGCTTATGTTGTGAGCAGTGCACCACATCCACAGATGGACAGCCTCCCTGCATTGTCGATGAGACCTGGCTCCCCCCTCCCTGTTGATGTAATACATTGTGGCTTGGTTATCCGTAAAAATCTGAACCGTGTTCTTGCGTATAAGGAAATGTTGGCATGCACAGAATACTGCTGTAGTTCTAATAGGTTTATGTGCAGGGTGCGCTTCTGTGGAGACCAATGACTGAGTTCTGAGAGGACCAGAGTGTACTCCCCATTCCAGGAGGGAGGCAGCTGTCATGTTGGTCACAGTCGGGGGATGTCTGTGGAAAGGTACTCCACTGCACATGATTTTGGGGTCCGCCCACCAGTCTAGTGATCGTTTGATTTTGTTTGGGATTGAGAGTAGTT